TTTGAAAGCATCACCATGGTGCAAGCAGGAATTGCTCTCTCTTTTTAACACAAGCTGGACCTCTGGATTTGTCCCTGAAGCATGGAAGCATGAAATAAATGTGCTTATACCAAAACCAGGAAAGTCTCTAGAACAAGTGATTGGGTACGGTATCGACCCATCACTCTCCTTCCTTGCTTGGGAAAACTCATGGAGGATGGTTTTGCTCTGCCTGCAGCATACAAAGCCAAAATGTCTTCTCTTTGCTTCACCTTGGTTTTCAAAAAGGAAAAAGCACAATAGATGCTTTACACTTAATGAAGAATGCTATTAATTTTGCTCAACTTGCCCATGAGTATTGTCTGATTGTTTACCTGGATATTGTGGGAGCTTTTGATAGTGTTTGGCATGATAGACTGCTTTTTAAACTGCATAGTATTGGAGTGGGTGATCAGATATTGGCATGTTTGTACAGCTACTTCCAAAATAGAACCATGCAGGTGCAGGTTGGGGTCAATAAATTTGAGCTAATGTCAGTAAAAGTTGGAGTCCCACAAGGTGCTGTGCTCTCGCCAATGCTTTTCAATGTGATGCTACATGATCTCCCTATCTCTCTCCTCATGTGAAGCTTGTTTGTTATGCTGATGATATAACACTTTTTGTGAATGAGCATTCTCTAATTGAGGCAAGAGCAGTAGTAGCATTCTCTAATGCTGCAGCATTCTCTATACTGCAGCATTCTCTAATGCAGCAGTATCTTGATGAGATTGGTGAGTGGTGTACTCACTGGCAGTTTAAGCTTAACCCAGCTAAGTGTTCTTACCAGATCTTTACATCTCGTCGTTCCATTTCAGCTGTATCCCTTTGAGTCAATAACAGGAATATTCAGTATGTTGTGCATCAGAAAGTGTTGGGATTTTATTTTGACTCCCCATGTCTCAACTTCAAAGAACATGTGAGACAAACTTGCATAGCTTGTCTCAAAAGGTTACAAGTGCTTTGAGTGCTAAGTTCAGTAAAGTAGGGTGCCTCATGCCAGCTATTGCACAGAATATATGTGGCATTCATTTGAAGCAGGATGGAAAATAACCACAATTTTAGTGAACATCTCTAAATCTCTGTTGAACCAGCTAGAGACCATGCAAAATTCAGCACTCAAATGGATACATTTTGGTTGCTCGTCCTACCACATCTGTCTTATCCTTGCAAGTTGAAAGCTTCATTCCTCCATTGAAACTAAGATTTCTTTTCCTAGTCATGAAGTGGGTGCTCAGGTATATGTACTTGCCTGTGGGGGACCAAGCAGCATCTATGTTGGGATTCCTGGATCGGGAGATTCTTTTGGACTCACCTTTTATTGTAACAGCTTGTCAAAGTTTCCAGATGCTGAACCTTCCACCCTTGCAACGTGTTCCAACTTTGCTGCTATCGTGTTTTCCCCCTCACGTGGATCTTTCTTCCAGCATCTGCCTGGACCTGCTGAGCCCTGATGTCAATTTGATGCCTTGTGAAATCACTAAGAATTGCTTTCAAGACTTTTGGAAGCAGAACTATCCTCAGCATATGCAGATCTATACTGATGGATCACGTTCTGCTACTTGATCAGTGTCCGCTGGTCTTTACCTGCCATCTACCAACCTGGCTACTGGGTGGCTGCTGAATCCAGTGTATACCATACTGGGTGCTGAATTATTTGCTATACTCAAAGCCATGCAGCTTGCCATCACTGATGAATCTCTGAATGATAAGCCAATTCTGATCCTGACAGACTCACGAGCAGCGCTGCAAATTCTTTCTTCAGTCAGGTTGCTCCTATTGCTCAATTATTGTTCAAATTCTTGAACTGATGCAAATCAAGGGGCTTGATAGAGTGATGATGTGTTGAGTTTGTGTCCATAGCAACATTCATGGGAATGAAGTGGCTGACAGAATGGCAAACCTTGCACATACAAATGATTGCTCTGCCAGATCCAGTTTGTGCTTTGAAGAGTGGCTCTGTTAGAAAACAAATTCTTGAAACATTGGTTGGTCTGGTGGTCAGGGGAAATGCAGTCTTCAGGGAAGGGAACCTTTAGACTGGGTTTGGGAGAGACAGTAAATTATGTGGACTATGTGTCACTACCTTGCTTCATACTTATTTTCTTCCACACAACAACCTCTTTGTGAGAGAAGGAGAAAAAATCAAGTTTTGCTCAGGCAGGGAGGTGTGACTGTTTCATACCCAAAGTCTTGAATCAAATTAAAAATATGTACCGTATATATATGATGTACACAAACTACACTGTTGCAGCAAACTACCAGGTTTTAGTCATGTACCCAGCAAACTGTGATGATGCTGTGAGTCTTAGAGTAACAGTTGCCTCTGTTCCAGTGCCTTACGCATGTTGCACCTTGACACGCTTGGGTACAAGTGTTAGTGAGAGAGAAATGCAAATGCAATGTATCAGAGTTGCTGCTCCTGTCGGTGCTCCACAGTCCCCCTCTCCACCCTATAGCTATATGCTAGTCTATAGTGATGGACTGATGGTGATAGTCATTGTGATAAAGTGGCTATTTAACCGTTTCTCGTGACCAAATATCAACTACATCATCAATTTGTATAAGCGAGATTGTTTAGATAGAGAGCTTACAAAATTTTTCATCAAGCCATATCAAAATATGATCATCAATTGATTCAAGCTCCATGGCAAATTTGATGGATTTAAATGTTAAAATTGAAGTGAATCTAACAACAGCCAGCCAGCCCGCAGTTTTCTCAATTGCAATGTTTCTAAATCTAATCAAATGCCCATTTTCCAAATTATTTCCCATAAATTGACTTCCACAGGTATCATTACCAGCATTTTTAGCTTTACTTTTTATTTTGGATTTGAGGTTAATGCAAACATTTGGCCAATTGGGGCTTTTCAGTTTCAGACTATGCTGCAGCTCTGCATGTTGAATGAAAATTTTTACAAAATCTTCTTGCTTAATGGATTTCCAACTAATCTGGTGCTTACCCCTGCTGCTAATGCCCTCCCGCTCATATTGATACAAGTGCACTCCTATTCTTGGCCACTGTGCTCCCCAATTATGCCAGGGTGCAGAAAGTGGGTGAATATAAAAAAATCTTTGGTGCTGCATCTGCAGAAAAATTTATGCCTTCAGAAGATCTTGCCAACACATTTGGATTGCAATTATTGCATTTTAGAGATTACGCAAACAGTAAGGTTTCCGGTACGATGGATGGAATAGGATGCAGTGAAGCTTATCTGGAAATCAGTTCCAATGAGTGTAAGTGTTGCAGTGTGTGGAGATTAAGTGATTTACCATCAAAGTTGCTTGCAGCATTTTCTTATTTAAAATTACCTGGCAATACATCTTGAAAATGGCTGGCAATGTTTTGGGTCAAAAAATCCGTATCTTGGCAATGCTGATTACAAACTCTGCACCCTGGCAATTACATAGGCACACGGTCATTTAGAAGGCATATAGGATGCCACTATGCTCCAGACTGTGATTGGTTGTGGCATAGTAACATCTTCCTATTCAGAATGTGATTGGTTATACAATGGCTTTTCTGATATGCAATTTGTTTTTGTCATTTAAATGGTTATGCAATGGCCTTTCCAATATGCTATTTGTTTTTGGTCTTTTAAGACCCCTCTAGAATTCCATACTGTGACCAAAACTATGGCAAGGGAGCTAAAACTTTTGTTTTCAAAAGTACTTGCCAAATATTAATCTAAAAACCTTCATGTCTTATTGGTCAAAAATTTTGAATCAGTTCTTATTTAGGTAAAAAGATATCCTCCATATTCATATGTGAGCACCACAGTACCTACCACTTGTTTAGAAATACAGTTGTTGCACAAGGCACTTCTGCATACATCAGGATGACATCTTGCAATCTTTATCCTAGGGTTGCAGAACATAAAGAGAGGACATGTAGAACTGGTCACGTACTACTGCTCGCCCTTCATTTGGCTGTGCACAATCAAGTGGGATGTTCCAATTTCTGATGGTGACTTCAAGGTTATAGCTTCCGCTTCTGGTGTTTCTGATTTGTTTATTTTAGAATCATTGTATCTCTTTAAACAGGGGCCTAGTTTAAATTCAGCGTTTAGCTCTTTCCCATTTGAAATTGTGAATAGATAGGTTTTACCATTTGGGTTTTTTTTTGTAACCTTGATTGTACTAATTACTAATTCACCTGTGTTCTAGAATTCTCCAACTGATGAATGAACTGAACTCTGAGAAAGGTTTTCTATAAAGATTGTATGAATTTTTGTGGAATTTTCTTTACTTTTAATTTTCTAGTGAATTTATTATTTCAGCAAATGAGTGACATTGTTACTTCTACCTATATGTTTTTTACAGTCAGTCACAATAATTTGTCATACAATGAGTGAATGGCTAATTTCAATGTAGAAGGGTAGTCAGCAAGACGGTGGCATCTGCTATGTTTTGCACATTGTGAGGATCATGAGACACAAGTCATGCATGATATGTGTTGAGCCTTATGTAGTACCTAGTAGTAACTGGTATGGGTGGAGATATGGATGTCTATTTTAGTAATTGGTGGTTAAGATACAAAATTCAAGTGAATTAAAATTAACAATGCATTTAAACTTGATTATTGAATATTTACATGGTAAACACAAATACAACTAGCCACCAACCTCCTGGTAGTGCATATTTGCATACATGTTTGAATTCTAAGAATGGTGGATTGGTGATAGCATTGTACCAGGTTTGGTAACTTGGGATTTTAATCTGACAGACTCCCAGTCAACACTATTTAATCTAATTTCTAATATTCCTATTATGAATGTGAATTTCAAGATAATTCATGACAATATTTGATATTAAAATTGTCTTGTTTGGATTGATGGTGTCTTCTCACATATGTTAATGCCAATGTCAAGTTATTTTAAATTTTTCCATTAAATCATCTTTACATATATATATACTTATCTATATATAATAACCTGCATAATATTTTTCACAAAATTTTTTATGAGTTTTACAGGTAGCACAATGGCAATGCCTGCTTTTAACATTAATTGTAAATTGGAGAGTAAATGTGCAAGGGCAAGAGAAGGAAGTGAAAAGTTAAAAGAGTGTCGTGTCAAGTTGAAGCAACTTACCAAAAAAGAAATCAAGCGGTATCTGAAGTATCGATTCACTGACAGGTAAAAAAATTGTCAATTTGACTGATTTTTCAGTTGATGAATAAAGCTAGCTCACTTATCTGCTGTAATTTATTTATCAAATATTACAAATATATTCAATGTAAATACTAATTTCAGTAACAATTCCTAGATTTTGCTTTGTATTATTTTCAATTTATACAGCCAACTGTCACTCATATATTTTGCTAATTGGACAATTTCCATTTCCATTCATTCATTATTGGCATAATATCTGTGCTTTGCTATAAGTTATTTAGCATTGATCATTTTTAAGACAAGCAATCATGACTGGTACTCTAAATGCCTGTGGATCAGTAATTATAGTATATGATTATGTACCTATATGATTTTGTATAATCATAGTATATATAGTCAAATGGGGTAAGACAGGATGGCAACCTTCATGGGGTAAGAAAGGACCAGCCCATGGCGTGCATTCTAATTGCACTGAATTTAATTTGACAAAAGAATATGTTAGACCAATCATTGCCTGTCATTTCAGTGTTTGTGACAACCCTCTTCTGCAAATAATTAATTTCTGGCTAATTTTTAAAGAAAACCTATGTAAAGATGGGTCACAAAATAGTTAACCTTGTTTGGGAAATAAGTTCTGTCTAATGACAAAAAATGTTTTGGCCGGGTTTGTGGATGTAGGCAGGTAACCTCAAGTAATAGGCAACTTTTTAGACATACTAGGCTTTCCTACCTGCTACCATCACTGCCTGACATGTATTCCAAAATGGGGTAAAAAAGGACCGGACATGGGGTAAGACGGGACCGCTAAATGATCCTGTTTTACCACACAAGTGGTCCTGTCTTACCCCCACAAATGGTCCTCTATTACCCTACAGTTTATCAAAAATAGTTTTTAAATTAATATATTATTGTGTTGTATATGGAGTATTTTGGTCAAAATTTTTATCTTTTGCTCAAACTTCATTATAACTTGTTAGCTTTTTTAATTAGAGAAATTTAGTGCACTACGGTATTTTAAATTGCATCAAAGGGATATAGAAAATAGGGATGTCTATTCCCATTAGTGAGCTGCAGAACCATGTGCAAGATTGGCTGGGGGAAAAATCATTGTGTGAAACATGAAAAATAATTATGATCACAACTCTGTGACAGGGCATGAGCTATGTTTGAAGAAGTACACCACAAATGCAGTTAGCAAGAAAACATATGACATCTGACACTGTTTATTACTGACACTTTATTACTGACATCTGACACTTTATTTTTATTACCAATTTGATAACTTTTTCAGACAATGACACTAATGGAATATACATGAAGCATTTAGCAATGCTCTACAATGAACCAAAGCCAACCCACTATCACTATGCTTAACAAAGTTTTCTCGTGACAAAAACTTCAATGTGACTGATATTAGAGTGGACTTCCCACAACACAAAACAGTAACAAGTGGTTCTTTAATCAAATAATGTGTTTCTAGATGGATAATATTGAATATCAGATTTGTACTTTTATTAAAAACCTTGTAACATAAGAATTACCAGTTGGTCCTTTCTTACCCCAGCCTGGTCCCATCTTACCCCAATGGGGTAAGATGGGACCAGCTCACTTTTTTTAATCTGTACAGAAAACTATGTTAGATGCAAAACATCTAAGTTGTAGCTTAGAAGCCCATTGCATATATACACCTTGTGATAGGTTTAGGGTTTTTAGTTATTCTTGGTATAGATGCTACAGGCTTGTTAGTGATTTCAGTCCTGTCTTACCCCATCTGACTATATGATTTTTATCATAGTATAATTCTCTTCCTCACCTTATTCTATAAACCCTAAATTTTACATAGCATTAATTTTTTTGTCTGTCTGACTATGTTGAATAAATTTTTCATTTGCTATTTGATCAAGTTTTAAATATTGAAAGACATTGTATAGAAATATGGATAATTTCCTGCATTTTCAGCTTTTTGTGTGAATCAAACAAATTTCTGTGGGAAATGGTAATTTCAAGAATAACATTTTGGCACCAAGACTTGCCTTCCACAAATTGATTCTTGAAATATTGATATATTCAACTTATTTACAGATGCCATCAACACATGAAGAATGACCCACCAAAAACTAATTTGCAAGTTACGGCTGACCACCCTCCAAATAATTTTGAGGGAACAAGCCATCATGTGGACGTGGTTCCAAAAGTTATAATATCATCTATTTCTGGTAAATTTGGGATCCTCAATGCAGGGTTACAAAAAACACCCACCAATAAAATATCTGAAACTGACTATAAAAAATGTTCCAAGATATTTCAAAGCAGGGGTTCAGTTAGAGAGGCTGATGAAGATAGCAGTATGAATTGTGGCACATTACAGTGTGCTGGAGTGTCTTGCCTCAATATTAAGGTGGAAAGAACTGATGAATTCAGTGGCATTCAGCCTGCACGCAATGAGTCTGCAATTAGCGCCATAGATTCCCCAATTATTATCAGTGAAGATGAGGACCTTCCTGACTTATTCTCCATTACCACCAACAACTATGTGGAATGTGAGAACATCCCTTCAACTCCTTCCAGTAGTAAACTCAGTCTTAGCAATTCATGCAAACGTTCGAAGGTAGGATTGGATGAGCCTGATTTAGCCATCCCCAATATTGTACAATCAATTTCTCCAGTCATAACTGAATCAAATAATTGCTTGCCCACTTTAGTGAATAAAAAATCGCCTACTATACAGGATGAGGAAAAAACACTAAATATGCAAGCAGAAAAACAGTCAATTGACCCAATTAGTTCAGCATCATCAATAGTTAATGTTGAACTGCCAAAGCTAAATAATTACTGCTCAACAATTGTGGAACCTCATTCTTTCTCAGAGGTGAGGAAGAACATAGTAAAATTGTCTAGAGAACCAACATCTATGAACATCATGAGGTATAAAATTATGCACCCACCAGTAGGAGATGTGAACCCTCTTCAGTCAGTAGTAGTAACTGAAGATGAATTGTTGCAAAAATCTCGGGATGAACATTCTCTAAAGCTTAAGATTGTGAGGCCACAAGACCAACTGGGACCAAAAAAGTGTGAAGAATCCTATAATAATTGTCTCCCATTATTATCTAAAATGGCGCCTCCTGTTCTAAATTCATCAAGTGTCAAACAAAGCTCCAGTAAACTGCCAAGTAATTCAAAAAATTTGTCATCTGTCATATTTTCTAAGAAAAATAATCTATCTGGCCTTCAGAAAAGTTCATATCAGACCAAACCTGATGCCATTCTTACAAGCAAAAATATAGCACCTGAAAGTAAGAAAAAGAACCATCAAATGATCCCATCGTCATCAAATTCATCTCAGGCTTCCTTGTCTTGCAAGTTATTGTTCAATAATGGTGAATGGGATACTTTATCACAAAAATGTCACAAGAAAAGATGTGAAGGTAGTGCACCTGAAACTGTATCCTCCTGTACAACTAAACAAGAAGCTTATGAAAAACGGACCAGCAGCACAATTAACTGGACTCACAAGTCTCAGAAAATTTCTAAGCCATCAAAAAAGGATAAACGTCATAAAACCTCTTCTTTAAAGACAAGAATGGAAAGAAAATTCAGGATTCACCGATGGTTCAATAATAAATCAGGAAAAAGGAATAAACCAAATGAATTGCTGCAAGTTTCCCAGCAGAGAGTTGACTCAACTGCAGTTATATTGAATGTGAAACCATTAAATGAAATAAATAGACCTCAATTAACTTATTGCAGCTCAGCTACTAATAAAACACCACCCATTTCTAATGAAAATGCAGTTGATGCACAAGTGTCTCATCTGGTAAAAACCAGTGAACAAAATTTGGATTCTGTTTTACTTCCAATGAGTAAAGTTTCATCTTTAGTCCCATTTAAAAGTCAGTGCAATCCAGATGATTCCACAGTTGATCAATCTTTAATCTGGAAGAAGTGTTCTCCTAAAAAGTATCCTGGTTTGAAGAGTGTTGAAGGCAAAAAGTCCAAGAATGAGGCAGATATAATAGTTGGTTCTAAAAGGAAATTCCCCTCTCATGGTCATGATGTTCTTACAATTGCTTCACAAGGCCCATCTAGAAAAAAAGTGAAAAGGTGTGAAAATGAAGTTTCTGACGTCAAGCAGAAATATTGTAATGCTGACAATTGGAATTTAAATAAGACTAATTGCATGTCAGGAGTCTATGACGGACCTGAAGACTTGCCTAGAATTGATGCTATGACTCCTGATAGTCTGGATTCTCCCAAAATTTTGCCATCCTCATGTGGTAATGTGGCCAATTCCTCAGGTTCTGACTCGCTTGATGAAGAGTACAATAAAATTCTTGGCATACAAAAAACGCATTTGTGGTTAAGGAGTATTAAAAGTATTAATGCTGCCTCAAATAGTCCAAAGCAAGCTGACCTCTCATCACCAGGATCTGAACAAAGGGAATCTCCTACATTAGAACATAAACAACAGACATCACCCACTGCTGGAAATGAACAATTTACACTACCTGCTGTAGGAAATGAACAATGGACATCACCCAATGAGGGACAGAAACAATATATATCATTTGCATCAGTGCTGAAACAATCTACATCATCCACGGCCCGAAATGAACAATCTACATCATCTACGGCCCAAAATGAACAATCTACATCACTCACAGCTGGACAAGAACAATCTACATCACCCACAGCTGGACAGGAACCATCTACATCACCCACAGCTGGACAGGAATCGTCTACATCACCCACAGCTGGACAGAAACAATCTACATCACCCACAGCTGGACAGGAACCATCTACATCACCCGCAGCTGGACAGAAACTGTCTACATCACCCACAGCTGGACAGAAACAATCTACATCACTCACAGCTGGACACGAACAATCTACATCACCCGCAGCTGGACAGGAACCATCTAAATCACCCACAGCTGGACAAGAACAATCTCCATTGCCTGCAGTTCAACAGCTACAATATTCTTCATGTTCAACAGATCTAAGAGTTGACTCTGAATATTCATTGCTTATGGGAATTAACTCAAAAGAAGCTTGCAAAAATTCAGAGTGTGAAAAAAGTACTCCTTATATGTCAGCTGAAAATGAATTACTTTCCAATAACTTGCCTTCTAAAGAATGGGGCTGTAGAAATAAGAAAATCATTGCAAAAGATGTCCCATCAAGTGTCCTTGTCTGTGATTTTGTGCACAGAGAAAAACAAAAGCAATGTTCAAAAGAACAAAGCACGTTTGATAGCCTAGACAGCATTTACCTTCTCACCGATGAGCAAAGAAAATGCTATGGAGGCATTCTGCAGGGTGGTTGTGTCCAGTTAAAGGTTCCTGCCTTGGAGGAAAAAGACTTTGAAAACAAAGAAGCCAAACGTCAAGAATTGCAGCAACAAAAGAAAAATGAACATTTCTTGAAGCTTCTGCAAGAACAAATAAGGATTGCTCTCAGGATGCACTCTTCTAACATTGATATGCTACAAAGTGCGCTGAAAGCCAGTAAGTCTCATTAGGTTAAGAATGATTTTATTATATATTATTTTCTTAACCTGCATTTGAAATACCTTTCAAATGAAGGTTATGATACATTACCTCAATTGCTTCAATGACACTGGTCAATAAAACAAGCTTAATTTAGCGCTTGTTATGCAAAGTGGCATTTACGTATAATTTATTGAATTTTTAGTCTGAATGTGGATAATACTGATATGATGCATGTCAAAAAATATTTCAGTTGAATTAGTTAATTTTGTGTAATTTAGAGCCATAAATTGATGGTTATGGGCTGGGAATGTAGTTTTAGGTTTGATGAAAAATTTGACAAAATTCATTTGGACAAATAAGAAAAATGTGTAAATTAAATTTAGTATTATTTTTGGAAGTTTTACAATTTTGCTACCAAATTTGTGTTAGATGGAGAAAACATTTTTAGTAAATTATTTTTTTTTTAGTTTCAATATAGCAACATAATTGCAAAGTAGTGGAATATTATTTTATTCTATAGGTACTACTCATTAATGTATTTAGTTGAGATTTAAATTATGAATTGTTGAATGATCCCAATTTTCATCAATAATTTGAAAAAAGCTCTTCAATATTTCCACTATGGCAGATAAATAAATCTGAAAGGATTATTGAAATGTTAAATTCAACAACCATCCATATGTTTAACAGCTATGCACATATTGGGTTCTTGTTGCATATATTGTTTGAATTTGAAAGTTTAGAGCTCTAAGTTAGTTTGATTTTATGAAATAATGAAAAAATATGGGGAATTATCAAATTTCATGCATAACTTTAGCAGATAGAAATTATTAAGGAATAAGTTCATGACAACCCATGTAAAAAATCCTTTGTGTTTCTATGCATTATTCTTGAGATTTTATATTTGCATGAAAATCAATCATTTTTGATCCAATCTGGTTCATGCCTATATGTTTGTTACCTATCTGTTTTGTGCCAATATGTTTGTTACCTATCTGTTTTGTGCCAATATGTTTGTTACCTATCTGTTTTGTGCCAATATGTTTGTTACCTATCTGTTATGTGCCAATATAAACGTTTGTTACCTATCTGTTTCGTGCTTATACGTTTGTTACCTATCTGTTTTGTGCTTATATGTTTGTTACTTATCTGTTTAGTGGCAATATGTTTGTTACCTATCTGTTTCGTGCTTATATGTTTGTTACCTATCTGTTCTGTGCCTATATGTTTGTTTACCTATCAGTTTCATAGTTCTGTTTTGGGAATGTTCAAGGAAATTTTAATTTCCCTTTCGAGTTCTCTGATTGGAAACGTTTCTGTTGTTTCAGAAATGAAAGAAACAAATTCAAGCATTTCTTCAGAAGCGCCACCTATGGTCTCCCAAGACAACTCGGAGAGTTGTTCAGATTCAGAAGTAAAATCTTTAAATGAATTAGAATCGTGTGAGAATTCAGAGCTAACGAGGGTTCCACTGGTCGAAAGCAAACTCGCCACCTCGCTAGACTCGAAAGAAAGACTTATAATTCAGAAACCTGTCAATGCATTGAAGGAGATTCAAGTCTCCTTCGAACCTCTTTGTTCAAATTTGAATGACTTTCAGACAGCTGAATCTGTTGTGTATCATACGAAAAAGAATATATCTGATGAAATTCCAGGTGGTTCTGGAGGTTCTCCCGAAAAGGTGGCTAACACCGTATTGAATCCTCAGGGTGGAGAGACTGCAACTCGATGCAAGGTAGCATCAAAGAATACCACATTAAAAATTGTTGAAGACCGTTCTGCATCAATTGCTGTTTCAGATATTGAAATTCCGGATACAGATACGCAGGTGAAAGATGACAAACTTCCATCATATGAATGTAGTAGACAAGAATCGAGTCTCTTTTCAAATTCAGAGGATTCATCACGTTCGGTTCTATGCAAACTAAATGTTCTGTTTCCACATCTTAATCTTTCTTTGCCACCCTTTATGCCCTCTACCGAAACTGGCGAGAGCGAAACACCGACGCTTTCACCGAGTTCTGTTCTATCAAATCTTACTGATCGTGATTTTTTCAATGACGGTACGACGGAGAATAATCCTCCTCCCAAAGAACCAGATGCTAATAAGTTTGTTAGTAAAATCGGGGTAAATATTACCAACGAGGGAAACCAAAATGCTATTGAAGAAGCCACCGTTGCAGTTTTGGACCGCCCAGCCCCAGCAGAAAATGTCACTTATGAATCTGAGAATAAAAACGGCAACGAGGTGCAGCTCGGCAAGTTATCAAATCAGGCATCACTTCAGCAGCGACCGGTTAAAATTGAACATATTACGGATCAACAAACTTTGGCAGAGATCTGCCAAGAATCTCTCGAAACATCTCTAAAGCCTCTACTGGCAGACGCTCGCAAATCAGTGGACCAATGGTTAGCAAATCTTCAAGGTGTTTGCGGAAGAGAAATAAAACGTGAGGTTGATTCCACCGAGAAACTAGACACATTACCAATTTCATCATCTCAGGAAAATGCTTCTGATTACCACGCGAGGATTGCTCCCAAAGGACTTCCACAAGTTGCAGGCACATCTAATGTACCTGCACCAATGGTCACGATCGTAAAGTCTTTCATTTGGCCCTTAAAAGAACACGACCCAGTGCCCATGAACGAAGAGAGCAATGATAGTGACACCACTGTTATTTTCGATGATAACTTACTTGATGGAGAGAGTGGCGTAGGGAAGCTTGTTGAATTATCTGAGTCTACCCCTGACGCTAAAGAAGGCGATTCTGCAGTTATTGATCCTGAATTTACAGTCAAGTCAAATACAAATAAATGTAATTCTTTAGAAGAGGGTTTAGCTTGTAGGCTATTCCAATCTGTAAACGGGAAACGGCTTAATAAATCATTTCCTGAAAATGATCTTGGCGAGAATAAAACTCATGATACGAGCTTAACAAACGTTGCAATGCACCATAAAACGTTAAATGCAGAAAAATGCTCAGAAGGTAGTAAAGAGACTAGTGCGACAGCAGCCTCGAGTTGTGATAAAAGAAAAGCCAGCCAGTTGTGTGATAGTCAGCAAGTGAGTGGAAATGAAAATAAGACTCACAGAAAGAGCTCGACAGAACAAAAAGTAACGTGCGAATTTACTAGATTCTTTTATGATTCAGACGATGAATTACCGGACTTGACAGTTGATTCGTGTCCGACGAACTTTGAAGACATTTCTTCAGCTCCTGTTTCCAACTTCAAGTCAAAGACTGATTTTCGATCAGAAATTGGATCTGAAAATGAGGATGCTACAGAATTTGTAGCAAAGCGCATAAATAAGCACTTCACAAAGTGGAAGAAGTCAAACGGGGGAAAAGTCAGACCCCAAGTTAAGGAAGGCCCCAAGTTGTGTCATACTGCTACACTTGCGGGCAAAGATTCGTTCGACTCTTCGATTCCGAACAAAACGTCAGGAAACAGTTACCATGAAGAAAGTGAACGTAATCTGATTCCAAACAATGTGTCGGGAAGTAATTCTAACGAAGGAAAGAAACGCAAACGTCTCCACGAACGTCGTAGAATTAGTTCATGCATGAGCAAAGTAATTAATACTGATGTTTCAGATGGCGTTCTTTTTAATGTTTCCAATGAAAAACAATTTTCTATCGCTAGAACTCGTCACGCTGATGTGCCGGCAGCAATTCCCGAGTCACCAGCTCGAAATTTGGGCGAACTGAAAAGTAATGAACCGGCAAACTGTATTCAAGTCTGCATCAATAACATTCATTTCATGAGCATTCCGATGACAGTTTCAACAAGTGGTCAGGCTCCTGCAGATAAGAATTTAGAAGTGTCTTGTGCTAGTGAATCTTCTGGATCGTCCTATAAATCCTCACAGCCTGGAATGAAATTGTTGCCATTAACTTCTTTGAGCCCTCCATGTACCGCGGCATTACCTCCCAAACCAGCTCAACCTGCATTCTCTTTAATTTCAGATACGATGATGGACCCACCCACATTTGCGAAACATACAATGCAACCGAGCCCTAAACCTGCTGGGCTAATTTTGTCATCTGTTAACCATTTGCCATCTTATAATCCTGCCATATTAAAGACTTGCAGCTCATCAGAGAAGATTTTTCCCAAGCCGATTCAGTCCGACCATTTACACACTTCATTAGGTTTGCAAACTTCAACTTCTAAATCAAGTGATGATAGCGCGTTTGAACTGACAATACCTGCCTCAGAGATGAAATTGAATGATCATATTTCTATTACACAAGAAATAAAATCTTCTGAATTCCGAATTCCCGACGAAATCCAAACGAACAAGAATGTCGATTTCAGTGCTGATTTCCACGCCAATGACCCAAATACCCAAGTAAAATCGACGAGCTATAAAATTAAAAAGCATCGTCGATTTCCATTTACAAAATACACTTATATTAAATCGAGTGTAAAAAGTAATAGAAAAACTGTAACCAATGCGTTGAATGACGAAAAAAGCCTAGCATCTGATGAAATCGTGCTCAATAATCTCGATAAAATCTCAATTGTCCAGCCCGCTGGTCCTGCTGTTGCGCCGGTACAAGAAACCACTGCAAAGAGCTCAGCATTATCTCCTGATCAATTCAATACTCCAAGAAATGCAGAAGAAAATAACACAAACCTAATTGAAAATAATCGTCTTGAAGCAAGCATGAACTTTCTTTTAAATACATCTAAAGATTGTGAATCTAAAAAGTTGTCCATGCACCCAACGCCTAAACTTCAAATCATAGCACCTCTGCAGGGCACCTCTTTAGATAACGTTGCAGCGGAGCAAGACTTCGCTCATCAGCGCCAAAGCATGAAAGATTCTTGTTCAGCTCAAATCGACAAGCCCTCAGATATACTCATGTGCAACCTCTTGAAAATATCTACTGGTTTGCCAGCTTCCGCTAACAGTCCTAAGAAGAAACCTGTGACTGATGCTCGTGTCCTTGATACAGGCACTGCCTCTTTGGAACATATTTCTGAAGTCGATAAAATATCAATTGCAAAGGAACCTCCATTGCAGCCTCGGCAAGATAGTGCAGAGTCTTCTGGTTTTTACACAAACGAAATATGTGCGCAGAAATCAGTTCCATTATCTCTTAATGGAGTGGCGGGAGCGGTATCTAATCAAAACCTCGTACCAAAAGTAAACGATTGTAGAAATGAAATTATTTCAAAAAGCTCGCCGACTTCGAGCCTTAAATCACACTTGCATTCCTCTCCGCAGCATTTCCGGAAGAAAATACTTCTTGCTCGGAAGCAAATGCCTTCGAAATTTTTATCTGAATCCGATAAATTAAAAAGACGCAGACTTGAAAAAAATGCGTCTAAGGAGCTCGCGAAAGTCATTGATAAAGATGCCATTCAGTCGTGCAACCAATCCACTGGCCCGAATGATGAAATTCTTGATTGTGGACCCACCCATTCGTTGAAAAATCCCGATCATATTAATTCCATCCCGGTTTTGAGAAAACCACAGGAAGCTCGCGATATCGCACATTACGAGGAACAGTCGACTCCTACCTTAGTAGGACATATGTCGAAGTTGACGGCAATGCCAACATGCCAGATGCATTCCGAGTTGGTAGAATCACCTCAGATGCCAACGGATGGTGATGTCTCATCGACATATACTAATGTTGGATCTCGACCGATACCGATGTCTCGACCGATTTTTTGTCCTCCACCGATGTTGCTTGATGTTACTGTACCACCTTCAACGATATCAGCTACTACTGTTCAACCTACATCAACGCCTAGCTCTACCAATACCCATCTATATCCACCGCTACCTATGTCCATTTCTTCTGGTAGACCTCATCCGACGTCGACGCCTGCTTATTTTGTTCAACCTCCATCTATGCCGTTGCCTGCAACTACTGTTCGACCTCCAGCAATTTCGATGTCTGCTAATTCTTTTCGACCTCCACCTATGCCGTTGTCTTCAACTACTGTTCGACCTCCAGCAATTTCGATGTCTGCTAATTCTGTTCGACCTCCACCTATGCCGTTGTCTGCAACTACTGTTCGACCTCCAGCAATTTCGATGTCTGCTAATTCTGTTCGACCTCCACCCATGTCGTTGTCTGCAACTACTGTTCGACCTCCAGCAACTTCGATGCCTGCTAATTCTGTTCGACCTCCACCTATGCCATTGTCTGCAACTACTGTTCGACCTCCAGCAATTTCAACGTCTGCTAATTCTGTTCGACCTCCACCTATGCCGTTGTCTGCAACTACTGTTGGACCTCCAGCAATTTCGATGTCTGCTAATTCTGTTCGACCTCCAATTATGTCCACGCCTTATGCTGTTCACTGCCCTATGACGTGCCCGTCCACATTTGTTCCGCCTCCAATAATGTCTGCTCATGTTCCACCGTCAATGATTTCAGCTCATGTTCCACCTCTAATGATGTCAGCTCAGGTTCCTCCTCCAATGATGTCAGCTCACGTTCCACCTCCAATGATGTCAGCTCATGTTCCTCCTCCTATGACGCCTACGTCTGCTACTTTACTAACTCCTCAGAGGTCGGGATTGGCCGCAGATATACTTGACCAAAATCTATTTCCTACAGTGAGTAGCCAAATGCAGACACCGCAGCCTGTTAAGTTCCAATCAACCCAGAATCCTCTTGCTGAGGCACACTCATCAACCGAGTCTCCTAGTCTGTCAAACAATACCCGGGAACAATTCAGGGGCAATGTGCCAAATCTGCGGCATCAAGTGCAAATTCATTTTCTTGGTCCAGGAACCCAAAACCTAGTAGATCCTGTTGGTCCGCAGCCAAATCATGGATTGGCCAACAATCACCCTCCTCAGAAGCCAGGTTCGATTGACAGTAGATATTCTAGGTTATCTGTTCGACCTCTGGCTTCTCTCATAAATCCCGTTGGGTCGACATCTTCCGCCTTTGCTTCAAGTTCATCGTTTAATTCAAATTTCAATGGTCAAATTGAACGTTCCGTGACAAATTCACTGAATACATTGACCAGTGAATCACGAACTGCGTCCACCGCCAAGCAACAGTTAGAACTTCACCATCATATTAAAAAAGTATTAAGTCACCACCGACCCATTTCCTCTGCTCCCAACGACAGTGAAACTCGTCGATCAGATTTCAGAGACTGGACTACACGACCGCAACAAAACTTACTTAGTCAAGCTCAGAACCACGAATCTTTGCAGTCCACTTCGTCCAGCTCTACAACGCTTGAGCCTTCTATCACTTCCACGGCTACGAATTTGGTAAGTTTCAAATAGAAAACATTTCCTTTACTTAACAGGCGCTCTGAATTGCCATCACTACCTACCGAGCTGAAAAATTGAACAAGAACTTACTGCTTCGATAAGTCTTTCTGGGTTACTTATTCAAGTTCAGGGGGGTTTGCTTCTTATTTAAATATGACTCGTAATTCTCGTCCCTATTTATTTATACACTTTTGAAAAAAACGAACACTTGTGCGAGTCATTGACAGGAGAGAACTTCTAATGACATACTGCAAATTATCAGAGAATATTAATGCTAATTTTATTGGTCTTAGCTGTTCTATGTAGATATCATCCTGCCTAATAGGGCTGAAACTTCACTTGTAGCATCTGAAAACTAGTCTGCTATACAGTCTAGATTATACAGCGGTTGGATAAAATAAGGGAAAACCTGACATTTTGATATGTTAATTTTTGAACATGTTATAAAATATGAAAACGTGACATTTTCATGTTTTATTGTTTATTGTTGCTGCTAATTGATATTTTATCCCTGCTTACATATTTTTAGTAAATTCCTGTGTCTATAACCTATATAAAATGTATAAAAAAAATTTAAAGACCACGTTTTTCATGTGGACTCAAAAGTAGAAAATAATTTTTCGGCAGCTACTGATCTCTGTTTGCTTTCATTCTCTTGAGTTTCAGAGCGCTAGCTAATGGGAAAGTTGGTGAAATATCGATTGCAAGATTTGATCATCACAGACACGAAAGCGAGCTAAGAAAAACGTGGTAAAATGGTAAATCTCTGATTTTCTAAGAGGCCAAATTGTTGGTGCTCGTATGGCAGGTGCTAGTGTGATTGAAACTCCAGAATGCTTGACGTTTCTGGAGGAATACTTTACTGTCTCAAAAGTAATGACTGCTTTAGAAAGAGTGAAAAACGTTCTCAGCAAAGCACAGGTCTGGCCGAAAGTAGAAGTTGTCTGAGAGAGACCGTCGGTACCTAAATCGAATTGTGAGGGCCAATCGAAAAACCGCGGCTGTTAAAATTGCTGCAGACCTCAATGGACACCTACAGAACCCAGTTTCCATAAAGACTGTCCGTCGAGAGCTGCGCAGATATGGCTTCTTTAAAAAAACTGCAATTAGAAAACCTCTGGTTTCAATTATAAATACTTCAAAGCGTTTAGAGTTATACAAGAACTTCCAGAATTCGTCCCTCGAGCAGTGGAGAAATGTGATTTTCTGTGACAAATCATCATTCACGTTATTTCCAACTTATTGCCGAGTTTACGTTTGGAGACAGCCAAAAGAATCATTTGATCCCGACTGCCTTCTCCCATCCGTAAAACATGGCGGGGGATTTGTGATGATCTGGGGCGCTATTTCTTGGAAATCCGTCGGATCAATGATTTCTCTTCATGGAAGAATCAACAACCGTGACTATTTAGGAATTTTGGAGGACCAAGTTCAGCCAATGGTTCAAGCACTGTTTCCGGAGGGGAACGCCATCTTTCAAGATGATAATGCCCCGATCCATACAGCCGAAATTATTAAAAAATGGCAGGGGGAACATTCTAATAAAGTTGGAGCATACCATCGTTTGGCTAACACTAAAGCTGAATAATATCGAGCATTTATGAATTTAGAGATGCAAGTCAGAAGTCGATTCTCGCCGCCATCGTATTTAAAAGAGCTGGAGGGAGTTTTAAGTGAAGGATGGGTTTAAATTCCTTTAAAAAACACTTCACAATTTGTATGAATCAATACTTCGAAGAATCGACACTGTAATTGACGCAAAAGATGGACCTACACCAAATTATAATATATTTTTTTGTATTTCTCAGTATTTCCCTTATTTTGTCCAACCCCTGTATTTTTTAATCTTATTTGTGATATTTGATTTAATTGATTTCACAGAAAGTGTGCTGTCGCCTGTGCGGTGTGACGCAGCGTGACTATTTCACATGCTGCGGGGACAATTACTATTGTTCCGACTTGTGCCACGTAAGATAGATGAACTGCATGTATGTTTACTAATCTTACATACACTGCTTTATGTTCTATACTCATTCATTGCAACTGTAACGAATGATATTAACCACTGATCTGACGGTAAGTTATGCTCGTTTGCGTGTAAAATGATATTACATACTTGATATTTTATGTTCTAATTCATTCATTGCAAGTGTAACGAAATTAACCACTGATCTGACGGTAAGTTCTGCTTAGTTGGGTGTAAAAGGATCTTACATCGTTAATATTTTATGTTCTAAATCATTCATTGCAAGTGTAACGAAATTAACCACTGATTTGACGGTAAGTTGAGCACTGTTGCTAATGTAACTTGTTCCACAGGAGCGAGACTGGGCACGACATGAGCCTGAATGCACCAACTTTAACTGAATTTTGTGGTTACCTCCCCGCCTCACCACGTGGTTACCTCCCTGCCTCACCACGTGGTTACCTCCCCGCCTCACCACCCCGCCTCACCACGTGGTTACTTCCCCGCCTCACCACGTGGTTACCTCCCTGCCTCACCACGTGGTTACTTCCCCGCCTCACCACGTGGTTACCTCCCTGCCTCACCACGTGGTTACCTCCCCGCCTCACCACGTGGTTACTTCCCCGCCTCACCACGTGGTTACTTCCCCGCCTCACCACGTGGTTACCTCCCTGCCTCACCACGGGGTTACTTGGATGAGGATTTCTTGTTAATTCTTTACGTGGGTCTTCATTTTCTACTGGATATTTTCTTTATACTTTATATGTTGTTTGTGGCCAAATATTATTCCACAAAGACGGAAATAGTCGTTTTCCAGCAATGTTGGCTAGTATAAACTTTAGTTATGTGTTAAATATATCATAACCTGACGTTTACAGGAATATTTCGGTAGTTTACGTCAATAAATTTTACTTAGTAGCCACTAATTTTATTTCAGTACTTTTCTTTCACCTCTTTTCCGACCATTATTTGAGTTTAACTTTATTTTAAACTCGCAATTGCCGCATCCAGCCATAAAACTTAGCTGTTGAGGTAAATTTAATTTATAATCATTGTTTGTAATGAGAGTAATTTCTTATTACAACTATAATTATAATGAGTATATATATTGAGAGTGATTCTCCATGTGATTCTCACGGTTGGACTATTAGATTTTGACGCGAGAACTTCACTTAAATTCATGGCTTCCGAAGAAAGTAAATGATTAGTATTGACACATAGTATTTTCTTACATGATGTTATAATAGTGAATTATAAATTAGTTAAATGGAGCGCTTTTATTTTTGTATTTAAGGCGAGTTCAATTGTTTATATTTTCATGATTACGTTGTTCTGTGGCATCCACACGAGTTACTGGCTAAAAAATGGCAAACTTGCAGTGATATTTAGAGTTTAGATTGACAAGTCGTACTTTGTGAGAAATATTAAATGAAATGAAAAATGCACAAGAATGAATGAATGAGAAAATGCTCAAGAAATGTTATGGATAAATGAAGTTTAACATGTTTTGTTAGAAGTATTAATCTTTAGGTTAATGCCGTGAAAATACTGTCAGGGGATCGAAAAAGTCGAAGGCGCTATTAGACCAAAAACTGTTCAAATTCCAAAGGAAAATGAGATATTTGATATCTTTTAAGTACTTTATACTAAGCTTATATTAAAGCTTTAATTCGACACAGTCAGATTTATCGAAATTGATTCACTGAAGTGTGAACACTTAGGAAATAAATGCGTGTTTAAGATATAACTCATTTGATCTGACTGAATTTTGATATTGTTCTATGTGCATCGATTCAAACAATACAAATTGTGAATTGAAAGTATTTTTAGAGTGTAGTTCTCGTTCCAGTTGTGCGGGAATTGTCATTAAGCTTTTTGGAAGCATTCTATTGAAAAAGATATAATGCTACATCTTTATCAAAATACTAGCCAATTTTCAACTGATTCTGCACGCATTTTTGGACAAATTTCGTTTTCTGTAACTTAAACTTAGCCTTGAAATTCAAACTCGATTTCGGCAGGTCTCCACCGTGGCCGCCTTTACTCGTTATGTGCATATTTATTCGTGATGTTTACGACATTTTTCGCGCATTCTTACATTTCTTTGTAATTGTGACTTTCGAACGGCCTAACAGCAACTGAAAGCTCATTTTGAATGAAAAAGTAATATTATACTCGAAATTTCTTATGGATATTATCTTGATAGGTCTAGGTTAAATGTTGAAATGTTGTCGTAGTTCTATTATTGTGTTATTTTTTCACTTGAATAAAGGAATAATACACGAAATGTCGCCTTGTTCCTCCTCTCGTCAAACGTTTGATTTTAATTTGATATTTGCTTTAATTTTTCTGGTAGTATGGCTCAGTATTCCTTCAGAGAAATGAATAAGTCATTCTGTCCAAATAGTTACACAGCGTGCATGTAGCGCTGATACGCCATTTCGCCGGCCCAATGTGGGTCAGGATGACACACTTATGACAAAAAGTGCATCAATATTTGAACAAATGCTCGCTCATTCCTCCGAGTATTTTTTGACATTCTTCGCAGGACGACCACGACATATATGAAATGATGTGCGTTAAATTAGTTGAGGTTAGTGACAGAGACAATGGTCTCTGTGACATGGAGCAGAGAATGCGTCTCTTATTACAATTAGTGACAGAGGTCATCGAGTTTCGTTAAGATTCGTCTCGCCATATTTTACGACGATTGCATGTCATCAGCGATTAGAACTCGTATAAGCCTTAATTTCTAAACGGGGTGATCCTATAGGGCCCATACTTTAAAAAAAAATTGAGAGATCGTAAGTTCATCCGCCAATCATTGACGGCCTTTCCAAGTCAAATCCACCAATCATAGACAAGAAAATAGAGCCTAAGTGTTTACGTTCACTTAGTGAATTTTTAAAGTATGGTCCACTACACTAGCCAGATCGACCTCCCCTGCAACACTACCAGCGGCGAGAAGCAAGCAACAGCATCGTGCATCAGGTGGCCCAAATGAGGGCGGATAGTATTCTTCAGGTAGTATCCTTTGGATATTACCTTCAGGATACTACCAAACATACTACTTAGTATCCTTGGATACTACCAAATACCAAGGATACTAAGGATGAACGATTGGAGGTCACCGATTGCAACGTATCTTGTAGCTCGCGTAGTCGTGGTGCCGGTCTTTCCCACTAGGCATTTGACGTTGGAACACGATTAAACGTTTGATGTAATCAAGTACGAATCAACGTTGTTACGTCATTTGTATAGAGATGCAGGGTGGCTTGTACACCTCCCTCATTATGGGATGCACAGACTGCAGTCCTGTTCAATAGAAGTTTTTTTAGATGTTCTATATTTCATGTATGACAAGATTCTTCTAATGTACTTGAACGTGGCAAAATTTTGTTTACAAACTATATACTGTCTATGGCAGTGCGTATAACCAAGTCTATACCGTGTATCTCTGTGGCAGTGCGTATAACCAAGTCTAAACCGTGTATCTCTGTGGCAGTGCGTATAACCAAGTCTATACCGTATATCTCTGTGGCAGTGCGTATCACCAAGTCTAAACCGTATATCTCTGTGACAGTGCGTATAACAAAGTCTATACCGTATATCTCTGTGGCAGTGCGTATAACCAAGTCTATAACGTATATCTCTGTGGCAGTACGTATAACCAAGTCTATACCGTATATCTCTGTGGCAGTGCGTATAACCAAGTCTATAACGTATATCTCTGTGGCAGTGCGTATAACCAAGTCTATACCGTATATCTCTGTGGCAGTGCGTATAACAAAGTCTATACCGTATATATCTGTGACAGTGCGTATAACAAAGTCTATACCGTATATCTCTGTGGCAGTGCGTATAACCAAGTCTATAACGTATATCTCTGTGGCAGTACGTATACTATACCGTATATCTCTGTGGCAGTGCGTATAACCAAGTCTATACCGAAATGAAAAATATAACCAAGTCTATACCGTATATCTCTGTGGCAGTGCACACTGCCAGTCTGCCGTACAGCGCCCGCGCGTGTGCAGTGCAAGGATTGCAGTGCAACAGTTGCTAGTGAATGTCTCGAGACGCACTGCATCGAGCATTTAATGGTAGCGTGCAAACCATGTTTTCCGGACACTGGTATTAACACGGCATAGTTATTTTTGCTTATGAATAATAAATATTCGGAAAATACGAATTTCAAAATATAATTCTTTATATTATGAGCTTGCTAGTTGTAAATTTATGAATAACTGACAAATTAATTTCTATGAATCTATATTAACCGTAAATACAAATAAACTTTTACAATGCCGAATAAATTCAGAATATATTAATAATTATTTGCTTGACACAGAATGAATATTGATCGTTTGTTTATTTGTGAATTCTGTCACTTTGTAGTTAACGTTTATAAATGCGGGCCAAAACAATCCCAAAAATAACAAAGCTACCGATTTATACTTAGCAAAATAATAGGCTACTACGGACAATGGGTAGTACAATTATTATATTTTAATTGGTTGAAGATCACGTTTAAAATAATTAGTTTGTAAACAAGCATCGCTGCACTTGGGCCGTTCACGCTGCACTGCGATAAGCTCTTCCTGTCGAGCTGTTCACATGACGACTACGTTATTTTTATTTATTTATATTTAGTATTTGTACATCTTTATTGTCATCCTAATGTGAGCTTCACGATCGTATATACATAGAGTTGAGTCATTCATGCATGAATCCGGCCATCATGTTTTGCATTAGATAATTAAACTTGTCTGATTAGACCTGATGATTAAACTGGTCTGATTAGACCTGATAATTAAACTGGTCTGACTAGGCCTGATAATTGAACTGGTCTGATTAGGCCTGATAATTAAACTTGTCTGATTAGACCTGATGATTAAACTGGTCTGATTAGGCCTGATAATTAAACTGGTCTAATTAGACCTGATAATTGAACTGGCCTGATTAGACCTGATGATTAAACTGGTCTGATTAGACCTGACAATTAAACTGGTTCGATTAGAGCTGATAATTAAACTGGTCTGATTAGACCTGATAATTAAACTTGTCTGATTAGACCTGATGATTAAACTTGTCTGATTAGACCTGATAATTAAACTGGTCTGATTAGACCTGATAATTAAACTTGTCTGATTAGACCTGATGATTAAACTGGTCTGATTAGACCTGATAATTAAACTGGTCTGATTAGACCTGATAATTAAACTGGTCTGATTAGACCTGATAATTAAAGTGGTCTGATTAGACCTGATAATTAAACCGGTCTGATTAGACCTGATAATTAAACCGGTCTGATTAGACCTGATAATTAAACTGGTCTGATTAGACC